GTTTAACGTGTACCACCGGTGGTACACATGGCACGGAACGTGTTAAATTTCACGTAGAAACTGGAAAAAGTTGAAAATTCTTCGATTTAAGGAAAGCTTAACTTTGAAATTGGGCAAAGTCAAGAAATTTGACTTACAATACTTCCAAGATCTTTGACACTTCCGCGTTAATTTTAATGAATTCCCGCGAGCGTTCAAACGTTTGTCTTGACTCTCGGTGGATTCGGCATTCTATTTGGCATTCGATACGTCGATATACCCGGTTCCGGGAACGTTGTTTTCAACGTATCCCGGTGATTGGAGGGTAGCAGCTGACGGGGAATGGCACGCTTTCCGGAACAGCCAGCCCTTAGGGATTGGAAGGGAGGTCTTTATGTGTCAAGCCTATTGTCCCGCGATCCTACCAGGTAGGATAAACGTAACGCGACATGTGATTCCTGCACCTGAATCGGGATTCGCTCGCAAGGGCGCAGAATCAAGGATTCCTCCTCGTCCGTGTAGAACCGTAGGTGCAACCATCGTTGAGTTAAACTCCTGAAGAAGATTCCCATCCCTTTTCAAAGTCCGATTAATTTCGTTCTCTTCTCGTTCGGACGAAGACCGAATATTTCTTCCTCGAGGAGCATGATGAAATATTATGATGTAATTTAACGTGTCTAAATTATGTAATTTGGACAACAAAGCCGACGTGTCTGCGCGAGCCAGAATTGTGAAGATTCTGAAGCCAATCTTCATCGTTCGTGCGCAGGAGGATTTCGTCAGAATCTTGATAGCAAACTCAGATACATCGTTTCTGGAAGACACCGAGGTAAGAAAAACAGTCGATTGTCGTCGACGCGACGACGAGAGAATCTCGTCCTCCAGTTCCTTTTAAACCTCAAAAGCGAGCCCAGCACGCAGACAGATCTCGTTGTTGGTGTTGGTTCGAGGTAGCTGCGGGGCACGGCGGAGGACTGAAAGACGCAACTTCGTGGACCTTAACTCGATCCATTCAGGATCGCTCGTCGCGCAGGCACTTTGTGAGCCGCGAGCACAATGAAGCCAGCCGAGCCGAAAGGTACCTGCCGTCCGTGTGTATACCTTTCAAGCCTGTGGACACCTGCGCAAGGAGACTTTTGATTTTTCTCCTCGCGCCCGTGCACCCTGGCGAATCTGTCGTTTATCCGGCACCGTCCGTGATTCCAACCGCTGAGAAACTAAGCTACTCCATCGTTCTCAAACTCCTCTGAAAATCCACGTGGATTTGCTGACAGTCTGAAAACGGAAGATCGTAACGACGTGAGGTAAACGAGAAACAGAGGTCTTCCGATTTCCTCGTGAAGATACAAGACAGTTTTCAATCGCTCGGCTGTCGCTAATTATCAGTTGTGCCATCTTTCGCGGCAGCGAGCGTGAAACGCTTTTCAAACGGTTTGAAGAGTGGCGTGGCGAAAACAGATGAAAGAAGATGAACGGACCTCGCGCCATGGATCCCGTACGTAACCGCCTAATCCCTTTTGGGCCTTGGCCGGAGTCAATGGCGCAGGGCACGCGATAGAAAAAAGGGGTGAAGGATCGACCTAGCCGGAAGCTCGTACGTACACGTGAGGCACAGCCCATAATAAGTCTCGCTGCCACGGTCGCCGGTGTGTGACGAAGGTAAAACGTCGTATATGCCGACATTAACCAAATCTGAACAAACACTGGGATCTCGTTTCTCTCTCTCTTTCTCTCGAGTATCTCTCGTCCTTTTTCTGCCACGAACAGCTGGCTCGAGCTTGGAAACACAGGGGCTTCGTCCCCCATGCCCCCAAAGGCCGAGCCAGCTCGGGGCCATGGAATAAAAATGAGGACCCAGGAACGGTACATCGGGATCGTATTCAATGAAACTCGTGCCGCGATGGCGTAGCTAGGAAAACCTGACGCGCTCCGCGAGGAAAACTCGTGCACGTTCGCGACGTGCCAGTTTGCTTCTTCGTCGAGCAAAACACAAGCATCTGTCAACGATGTGAAACGAAGAAGAAGGTGAATTTGTTGGAAGAGGCGAATGTATTGCACAAAGGAATATGTATATGCAAAGGGGACGCAGCGAGGTCATGCGGTATGCACGCCTGATGCAGGAAGAGAATCGTAATTATCCGACACGTGTACCTGTGTACAGGTACGATGACGGCTGATATCGGCGCGAGGTCGCGATCTCCGCATAATGGGAGTAACCGAGGCGAAGAATGCAGGTCGACCCTGAACCTCCTCCCTTCTCGTCCCGTGACAAAGATCAAGGTGGTCCAGAAAGGAAACGCGCGTCGCTCGTTGGCTGCCAACGCTGCTAATTTTCACAGTTATGCAAATTGGAGCACGCGTAGCGCGGATCGTAGCGTTGTTGGCGATCTGAACGATTAAATGAGCACGATTTTTACGAATTCGACGGCTGATTGTCCGCTTCCTGGCGGTATAATTCCCCTATAAATTTCGTTCACATTGTTGCTTGACAAACTTGTCACTTGAGGCAACGCTCTGTTTTGCAGAGTGATTGAAATCATCGAAAGCAAAGTGGACATTCGAAGAGAAAGATACACGAGCTTCACTGTTTCAGGAACACACGGTAAACGCGTATTTGCAAGAAAAAGGGGTTAGGGGCTTGTTATTTTGCTATTTCTAAAAAAGCAACAGTTACGAAGCTTTCAGCCCTAATGGGAAACTGCAGGAACTTGGTACTGCGAGCTTGGCGGCTGTTTGCGAGTCCACGGCTTTCGCCGTGTTACAAATTAATTTCGCATGCCTGAGGAAGGGCGAGCCGTGTGCTTCTCGGAAACAGGGCCGGGATTAATCGCGGCTGTTCTCGGCCGACGACGAACAATAACTCGACGGTCGGATCGAAGGTAACGGAAGAGGGAAGGCAGGATATCGCTCGCGGCGCGTCGATTTTCTTTCTCTCGTCCTTCTCGTCCCGTCTCGGCTCTCTTCTTCGTCTTCGTTGCCGCGGATTGATAATCCTGATGGACGTCACGATAGTATTAGCGTCATGGCGCTCGCCGCTCCTGTCGCGAGCCTGACGTTCATGCAAAGAGCGAAACAGGAAGAAGACGACCGAGAAGAAAAAGAAGAAGAAGAAGAAGAAGAGGAGGAGGCCGCCCGTGTGTCGGCCTCGGGAACCTGATACCGGCGCGGTTTTATGAACGACTATGCTGCAGTTTCACGAGGCCACGCGAAGATGTGCATTCGACGTTCACTCTTCTCCCGTGGACTTGGAATCTCCCTGGACTCGCTGATATTTAAATTTAATTTCTCTGAAATTTTCAGAATTCACAGCCTCTAAATATTCAATGTCGATGAAAGGATCCGGTAATTTATTTCACAGTGCTTGGGGATTTCGTGTTTGCGAAATAACGGGACATCGACGGGACGCTGGCGCGTCGGGAGTATTGGCGAAAATCGTGGATATCGACGCGGAGCGCGCAGGATCACGACGGAAAGAAAACCAGGTGCTAGCGCGGGGCGCGTGTCTAGATTGGGGTAGGGGGCAGGTGGGCCCCCTGCATTGTCAATCTCTGCCTTTCTGTACCTCGTGGCTGCTTGCCTGGCTGCATGTGTGATCGTGTTTCCGTGTCCCGACGAAGGGTTCCCGACTGTCGACAACGACAGACGGGTTTGTGTGCGTGGCACGCACACGGGAGGAGAAGCCACGGGGCTCCGGAGGGTGCAACCAAACACATAATGAGAATGTATGCGGCAGAAGAGGGGTGCCGGCCTCTCGGGATGGCAATAGGGATGCCATACCTCGGCTCACCTAGTCCGACGAGTGTACTCTCGCTCTATTGTACGCGGAAAAGGCAGGTGATGAGAACGGTCCGCACCACGCGACTCCGCGCCGCGGTTCTCATCGCGAGGATCGGGATTCACGAGCGTCGGTCGTCGATGAAGAATCACCGGTCTTGAAAAATGAGCATCTTCGTGGTGCTTGAATTTTAGTCGCTGCGAAATTGAGAATTCAGAAATATTCGGTGACATTCATCGTTAGTGAATTTGACGACTCTTTGGCAAAGTAGAAGCGAGTTAGAATTTGATATTATATCTGGACAATTTCTCTATTATTTCGGGGAAAATGAAGAATTTTGTCAAGATTCAGAGCCTTCTGAGGTTCGATGAAGTACGAAGTTCACTTTCGGAAGGAACCAAGGTTTGAAAATAAAATTCTCGTTAAACTGCAAGCGAGAACGATCGCACGATAGATTGAGAACCACCACGATCTCGCAGCATATCCCGGTATTGCACCATTGCACCATGGACTGCAGTGTGCAAAAGCACTTCCCCCACCTGGTATCGATAGCCGTGCAGAGAGCACGTGCCATCAGCTGTCTCCGCTGGACCACAGCTGAAGCGGAGGAGGTGTGCGAGCACAATGAAATGGAACCACGCATGTAGAACGGTTCCGGTCAGTAACAGTGTTTACCGAAAACCGAACATCCGTGATCTTCTTCGAATCCAACATTATCCAACATCCCACTCTTCGATTTTCATCCACTTTCATCCACCGCTGTTTCTAATTTTACAATCGAACCAACCCCGTTCGTCCTTCTCTTTCGTTCGTGAATATTCAATTGTTCCACGCGTTCAGCCTGTTTCGAAGCTCCTGTCTACTCGCTATAAATTCGAGTTTCTCGTATCCGGAACGGGACATGAATTAAACACGGTGAAACTCTGAAAGCTCTGCTCGAACCGCGAAGAAGAAGAAGAAGAATACGGGGGTGGCCACGACGAGTTACGAGCTACCGTACATGGGTCGAAAATCATAAATCCGTGGGGAAAAAGAGGGAAAAGAAGACGCAGTAAATCCGGACGCCGCTGGACAATAAAAGCGGAGTCGGAAGCGCGACGATGAACGCGCCGTCTTGCCGTGGCCAATGAGATTACGTTCTTCTCGCGCGTGCTTGCGTTTTTCTCGCTTCGATCACCTCGCGACTCGGTTCCGGTTCTTGCCTGGAAAGTCTTCCAATCTACCTACTCGGACTTTAGATTCGATTCTTTAGATACCATCGAACAGGAAAGTATCTCTCACTCTCTTCTACTCGCGAGCAGTAGAGTCTCTTTATCTTTCAAGAATTTTTTCCGATTCTTACGATCGCAGCAGAGAGTTTCCACGTAACTTTCAATTCAATTTCTTAAAAACAAAAAAAGAAAAAAGAAGGTTCTTCTCATTAGAATAACATCTGTTGACGCAAGAATATTCTTATCGATGTTTTAATTCACAGTTTTTAGATGAGCTGATTGGCTAGATCGAACCAGCCTCCCGAATTTCGATTCGGTTTAAGTTTTATATGGACTAAGTTTCAACAATTGTAAAAGAACAGTTTCAATTTTCAAGAAGAAAACTTCAACCTGTACAGTTTTCACGTCTAAGTTGTTAATAAATGCGATTGTCCAAGAGATTCGCGAAGTTCATTAATTACCGATCTCAAGTTCGGTCGGACAAGACACAGTTCACGGTCCAGTGCTGTGACATAAAGACTCATTACCCAGTTTCAGTGTCGTTGTTGCAACGATAACGTCCATTGTCAAAAATTTTCCAAAATTTTCCGATTCGACATACTTCGATGACAGCGTCGGTCTTTCCAGGGCAGCGAAGTTGGCTCCTCATTAACGAAGGCTGGTGTCTTTCTTGATCCCGCTGTGCTCGTACATCTCACCACAGTGTCCGTGGTCTGTCCCGTTGTTCTTTCTCCGCTGCTCCCTTTGCTTCGCCTCTGTCTATCTCGGCCTTCTCTCTGTCCCTCTACGCACGCCACCAGCTCCCTCCAGCTTGTCGTCGTCGTCCACCTTCCTCCACTCCGACGCCGAGCCGTTTCTCGTTCGCGAGAAACATAATAGCGCGGTCTTAAACACCTAGACAACACCGGGTAAGACAATTCTCCTATCAGCGCCGGCGTAATAGCCAGACAGGCAGGCAGGCAGTCGACCAGCCGCTGAGGACAATTGCTTCGCGGCTCGTTGTTGCGGCGTGGGCTCGAGCTCGTTGCTCACCGACCTATCAGCCTGTTCTACGATCGCATACCTACGTCTAGCCGACAAACCGCCTTAAGCTTCGACTCCCCCATAAATGGAAGCGCACAGCCAAAGCCCCCCGAAGTGCTGCATCTTCCTTACGTTCAGCTGACGAGGATTCGCGGTGATTTCACGATCACTGCTTCTTCCGAAAGGAGAAGTTAAATGTCTGATGGAGCGAAGATTCCAAGAAAGGTGCAGAATGACTTCAATATCGAGTCGATGAATAAAAGATTTCTTCAAGTCTGTCCGGAGAGTTCCAATTTCGTTGTTACGAGAGCGAACCGGAGAATTAGAACCGGTGTACCACCTCCTACAACCCACAGTCCGGCCAGCCCGTGTCGACACGTGGCGAACAAATTACTTTCCACGTACGCGAACCTCCCGATCCGAGAACCATCGAAACGATCTATCTCTGCGATCTAGATGCCAATGACGTTATAAATCCACCGGTCAACTTGCGCCAGGAGCGGTGGAAAACTTGGTGGAAGTGTGCTGGAGCTAACAGAAGCACAAGGTACCCGTGTACCAATGCCAACAATGCGACATCGCGGTCGTGTGCTTTCTTCTTACTCCGCGACGCTGTCTAATAGACCGATCAGAACCGGTGGAATCGGACACGTGTGCACGGTGTTTAACGTGGAACAAAGTACACAACTGGTACCAGATTCGCGGGCATTTGCTTTCTCCGCCAGTGGTGGCTCGCGAAAGGGCTACTATGATAGCTCTCGTTCACCTAATACGTTTCCCCGACTATCAATCATACGCGTTAGAGCACCGACGACGATCACCTTTCTCTTGCGCAATGCTGACAAAGCCATACGTTTGGCGGAGTGAGATCTGGATAAGAGGAACAATTCAATCGAGACGACTGGACCAGGACTGACCACGGCGGACCAGTCGGATCCGGTGTTGTACTCGCTCGATAACAACGTGTAAAAATGATTATCCCGTGACCGGCAGTTAATTATCCCGGTGTCGTGGTTAACAACGTTTCACCGATCCTCTAGAGCCACTGACAGAAAGATCGGTGGAAGGAACATTCTCGGAAGAAAGTTCCCGGACGCGACACGTGGGCTGACCTAATAGCGCTACGCCGCTATCAATCATGCACGCGCACACCTACGAAACGGGAGCGTGCTCGCGAGAACGTTACGTAATGCGTTACGGAGAGTATTTCTACTTGCTCCGACGAAAGAACAGCGAATCGGCCGATCGATATCGTCAGATTTGAATCGAACAAGGATGAAGTTTAACTCTTTCATTACGAGCGTCGAATCGTCAGTCAATGTGACGGATTTTCTTTCCCAGGTTTCTTTACAATTGCTTAAAAGATAGTAGTATTTTTTTTTTTAAATTAATATTCTGTTTAAACAGAAACATGTTTGTATAAATCTTTATTTTATTTATTTTTATTATTTTATTTATTTTTTATTTATTTTTATTATTATCATTTAAATTACAGTGACTTATACTTTGATACGTATTGAAGGCTGGTTATTCTAATTATTTTATTTATTTTTATTATTATCGTTTAAATTACATACTTTTGTATGTACGATTTATACTTTGATACGTATTGAATTCTAGTGTTAAAAATGCACTTTGGACACGCATGATACATTTTAGCCACAAAGACGAGCTTTTTCTATTTTTTCTAGTCGACATATTTATACGATAAGAAATTATTGCAATCTTTCTTGATCTATTGCAATTTGGGAAAGCTCGGCTGTAAATATAACTGTTGCTCTGTCGGGAAATTTTCGCTTGAAAAATTTGTCGACGTGAATTCAGGAAAATCGATCGAAAATACCAAAGTGACCACCCCGATCGACGAGTATTTCAGGTAGTTGAAGGATTAATTTTTAGAAGTGGCTTGCTAGTTAATTTAAGAATAAGCAGACAGCTTGCACGTCCGTTCTTCCGTCAGTCAGGTGAAACAATGGCGAGAGGATCGGAAGATTAGCGGGCCCGCAACGGAAATCTCGATTCCATTGCTGACCCCGAAGCAAGGGTAGTCACAAAAGGTTGCACCGGTGTAAACGGAGGTGATTGCAAATCTTCTACGGTGCTCTCGAGTGCCCAGGTGCAGGTCGAATAATGGCGAGTCCACGTCGTCGTCCGGCGACGATCTAGATACTTTAGAGTTCCGGTGTGCGATCTATATTATAACACACATACGGGCTGTGTGCGTACCGTCGCCTTTCTTTCTTTTTTAATTTCATTATTTCTTTTCTTATCGTGGAAGGAAGAGGAGGAGGGTAATAATTTCAGTTGCACGAGGAACTAGATGAGGCGAGGCGAGGAAGGATCGTTCCTCGAGTGGCTCACTCACGCCAATCATCGTCCATCGTGCAACGAGAGTTCCCTTTTCCTCCTTTGCCTCTTTCTTCTTCTCGTTAGTTTCGTAGTACATACGCTATAGTTACCTGTCGTCCTGTTACACGTCGTGCCATGGCGATGAAAGAGTTTCACGAGCGAGGCTACTTCAGCCTCTCTCTCGAACCGTGAGAATCGAATCGTAGAATTGTATTGCGCGACTCGAGCTCGCCGCAGGGGTAGCTCGTTACTCGATAGTTCCGAACTTATAACCGCTTTTTCTCTCGTCGTTCGGTCTCCGATATACATATACTCGATGCTCGAACAACAGTCTGAAGTAATTAGGGGACAATGGGGAGGTAGAAATTCGACGGGAAGTGGAATTGAAGTGGAATTCTCACGAAATGTTTTTGAAATCTCGTTTAAAATGGAGAAGCAAATCTCACCCTACGTAGGTAGAACAACTCCCGTAGGTTGTTGTCAACAATTAGAAGAGACACGAAAAATACCGTAACGGATCAAAGCCGGTCCAGCTCTCTTCGCCCCGTCAAGTTGATTCAAGCGAAGCCTACTTCCAAGAAATTCACAGCCCGCGACCCCTACGCGGACGAGACAGAAGAAAAACAGATCCCAACCGACCC